AAAATATGTTTAGACCTAAGCTTCCCAACCCAATTGTTGAATGACTCACTAAAATTATTAGTGACATGGTCACTCTTCACCTGGTCAGAAAATGCATGCCTTGACCACTTGTACACATCTATTCTTAAGACCCAATTATAAGCCTCTCTTGACACCTCCCTCATTTGCCTCATTACCTCATTAAATGTGTAATCATTATAGGCTCTAGTTGCCTTCCAGAAAAAAGACTGCAAAAGCAATCCTGGATACTTCTTTTTGAAGTTATTATATAGATGTCTGCAACATAGCCTATGGGTTGCATGTGGGAAAACAATCCTCATTGCTTGTTCAAGACCCTAAGCACAAGTGAAGCATAAATTAGATATATAAATTTCATGTAATTTATTAGATATAGAAATTACATGTAATAAATGAAGTTTTTACCTTTTACTGATCTAACATGAAGCATATATGTCTATCTTGACCAAGTTCAACAAATGTTTGCAACTCTTGAAGGAAGAATTTCCAGCTTTCTTTCCCTTCATTCTCCACCACAGCCACAGCCAGTGGAAAAAGGCCATTATTCCCATCAAGGGCTATAGCAGACAAGAGCACACCACTATAAGGGGTCTTTAGGTGACAACCATCCAATCCAATAAACCCCCTGCAACCATTCTTGAATCCAGATTGCATAACTTCTAAAGACATAAAAATTCTTTTAAATGTCATAGTAAGCAAGTCCCTCTCAAGCTTCATGATACTACCAGGATTAGATTTGAAAATTTCATTAGCATACTTAGGAAGCAAAGTGTATGCTTCCCCATGGTTTCCCTCTAACTCATCCATAACTTTCCTTTTAGCTCTGTATAGTTGCATGGGTCTTGCATCAACTTTGAATTGGCTCATCACTGTTGCATGCAATGCATCAAGTGGAACCTCTGGATTGTCTTTTATACTCTGCCCAAGTTTTTTAGCAATCCATGTGGATGTTGCATCCCTCATAGTGCCACTCCTCACACAATTGTGTGGACCTCTAATTGTCTTGACTTGATAAGTTACTCTATCTACCAAACGGGAAGCATGTACCCTCCATGGACACCCCTCAATTGCACATCTTACAGTGACTCTTTGCTTCTCATTTTTTAATCTTTTTATATTACATCCCTATTGGACACAAAAATCAACCAAAATATCCCTAAAATGGTTCACATTGACAAATAGATGACCTTCTTTTAACTTAATCTTTCCATCTACACCTCTCTTAAATGGAATTCCCTTTAAACAGCTTGCATAGCACCTACCCCTTGCTGTTTTAGTTTTCTGTTGTTCAACATTTATCTTACACTCTTCTTCTTCTACATACATGTCATTATCAGATTCAGTACCAGGTTCATCTCCTGATTCATAGTTTGACATACCATCCTCACTATGGTTCTTTTCTTCCTCCACATTCTTATTCACATCATTATTGTGAACTAGATTCTTACCCTTCCCACTATTTTCCCATTCCTCATCTTTAGAATTAAACCCAAGTACATCATTATCATCTTCCAAATCATACTCATCCTCAGGCTCTCATTGTCTCTGACATTAGTGTCATTATTGTCATTGACATTACTGTCATCATTGTCATTGACATTACTGTCATCAAATGTTCTATCATCAAACTCCCTATCATCAAACTCCATGCTCTCAATTGAGGCAAATTCAGGACTTACATCAGTTACAACCTTATCAATATACAAGTCTATCAATCTCTTACCAACATTTACTTTAAACTCTAGCACATCTTTATCACTATCCACATTCATTCTAACAGAAGACCCAGGAACAACACAAGATAAAAATAGAGATAAAGGGACAGTAGTTGGAATATGAGATAAAGCTACTGCTGTTACACCTTTAACAAGATCAATGATGCTATAAAAATCCGAATCCACACCAGTTATAAAAGTTAGGTTCCACTTGTAGTGAACAACAATATAATGAATTGATTCCATTGCTGTAACAATTAAAATTATAACAAAAACATAAATTATAAACACAAATTAACTAAATTTGACACAATCAATACAATGGAACAACTACTCCCAAATTACACATAATTTCAATTATAAAAGCCCTATTTGCCTATATAAAGTTAACAATAAATAGAAAACAAAACCTTAAACAAATATATATAGAGTAATAAAAAACATATACCCTAAACTAAATACAGAATTATTCAAAAATACACATACCCAAAAAACAGAGTATAAATTTTAACATAACCCAAACTAAATAGAGAGTAATAAAAAACAGAAACCCTCAATATCGACTACAAAATTCTTTTCACATTCCTCAGACCACTTTAGATTCACATATGTGCAAACCCTAACTCGTTCTTTGCAAATACGAGCTTGGATTTGTTGCTAAATATGGAAAGCGAACTCCTATGTTGATGCGATCTTTGGTTAATCCTTCACATGTAACAACCCTTACCCTTTGTTCGTTCGTTCTCTCTCTCTCTCTTTCTATCTCTCTATCTCTCTTAGAGTGTTCACAATACACGGCACCACTTTGGTAAGGCAGATGAAAAGACATGCTTTGGGAAACAGACACAATTAATGCAAGTTTTCCCTCCAAATGAATCAATAGTCGTGTGACTGAGAAGCTGATGTCATGGGAGGGTAGTTTCGTCATTTCAGATGGCAAGGAGAGGGTATTTCAGTAATTTCGACAGCTCTGTTAGTCGATTTAACGGTCCGTCACAGATAAGGGAGGTCCGTGTAGGATATTTTAAAAAGTAGGGGAGGTCCGAGTAATTTCCGGAACAGGAAGGGTGCCGCCTGTAATTATGACAAACCATATGGGAGGTCTGTGTAAATTACCCATAATGAAAAACTTATGAACTCACTGGAAATTAGATGTAGATAAAGAGGAAATGATCGGCCAATGTAAATTGGAGATGCTTACTTGTTTGGGTTCCATAAGAGAACGAGAGTATTAGGTAACCTAGGCCTTCCATGAGAGACTGTGAGCAGAGCAGTGGGTTTGTGGGATCAGATGAGACTTGATGGGAGGTCAAAGACGCATGCAAATGAAAGGAATATAAAAACTATAAAGTGTAAAACACTAAGCCATAAAGCAGTAAAGCATTCGGTTCGTAAAACAATAAAACTTCTAAAAACTTAATGATTAGAGAAAACAAAAACATCAATAATATGTTATATAATATACTATATATGTTATATAATATACGTATATTAGTTCTACGAATTGGCCACGGATTGGTTCAGTTTTTTCAAAATCTAATTCGTTAACCGATCCTGTCACTATGGATTACTAATTTTTCAATCCATCATAAAATCACAAAACTAGCTAGCAAACCAAATCGAACCGCACAGATCGGATCGGATCGTTTAGTAGATTAACGAATTATTTGAACACTCCTATACTTACCGTAATCGGGGTATTGGATAAAGTTCGGATTTTTACTTGTAGATATTGTTCTAAAACGTGAATCTATAATAGGTTCAGTGAGGGCAATTGTCCCACTTGCATTTTTTTTTTTTTTTTTTGCTATTATACCCATTAATATTTACATTTTTAAATTATATATTTAAAATTTTTTGAATTTATTCTTAAATTAGAAAAAATTCTACTATTGTCCCTCCCACAACTAATTTTTTTTTTTTTGTTAAAAATCACCTCCTCTTAAATACTTTTCTAGTCCGTCCCTGATTGCCTCTAAGAAATTGTTAGTACTCAATAAGATCGAACCTCAAACATGATGTTTCATGACATGTAAAGCTTAAGTGATTTACCACTAGAATTAACTTTTGGGTTCGGACGACACAAATATATCACATACACTTGTTTATTTATCGTGCTTAATAATTAGAAAATCAAACTGTAATATATATAAATTTAAGTTGTTAAAAAGTGTGTATATAATAAACTTCCATATCATTAATGCATTTATGTCATTGTTGGAACCTTATATATGTCATTGTTAGCCAGCCTTGTTTGCACAAAGACGTAAAAAACAAAAAATTACACATTTGAAGCCAAAAGCTAATGACATGATTTAAGAAGATAATTTGTTGGTGTTACGTTAAGCCATTCTTACATTTGTTCACTGACTGATGTAAACAGTTACGTGAGTGGAAAGATACCATCTTTCAGCGGAAAATATAATATATATATATATATAGGGAGTAGTTATGTCAGCATTTTCTAAAAACATTGGAATGAGAATTTTGATTCTTAATAAGAGCTTATACGTTCAAAATTTGATAGACTTCCATCAATTCTAGCTAACAGATAAATTAAGATTTTTTTGTCATTTTTTTTTAAAAAAATAAAAAATAAAATTCAAGCAATTGAACTTGTACATACTCATCAGTCTTAGAGGTTCGAATACTTTTTTTTTAATTCTCACGAATTAGAGAAAAGTGGCTCGAATACAGATATATTCACTTAAGAAACTAGACACCTTACCAATTAAGAGACGAAATAATGTCCCATAATAAAGGGGCAAATACTCTTTTCTTAATCCTTATAAATTCAAAAAAATTAAAAAAAGAAAATTTGAACACAGATACACGTTACCAACTAAAGGATCAATCACTCAGATTAATAGATTATACTTTTCTTTTAAAATACTATCACTTGCTACCTAACAAAACAAAGTTCAATCAGATGGGACCAAGTATGGTAATCAACTAAATAAATAAATAAATAAATAAGCCTTTATCTCATCAAATCATATGGGTCCTGGTAATCATTTACGGTAAAAAATAAATAAATAACTTTTTGTGTTCCGAATTTTTAGTAACTTGATTTGTGGGTCCGAACGATCTTCTTCATGTCACATGCTAGAGGGTATAATTCAGGTGGTGCATGTTAATATTGTCTTAATATTGCTCATGCATTTAAAAGCTCACGAATTGGACAAACAACGAACATTAGATTCACCAACTAAAATACCATGAACAACACACACACAAACAAGAGCAAAGCTAGCTAAAACCAAAAAAGAGAAAAAGCAAAATTTAACTTTTAATTTATAAGGATTAGCATCTAGTGTGTGTCAAAAGACTCAAAACCACCATGTTTTTCTGCAGCGCCAACTTTAATTATCCAATTATCAGCCAAAAGTAGCAACCTTTTCCTAATTACTCCCAGGACCTAGGTTTAATTTACATGCATACATATACAAATAGAGAGAGAGAGAGACAGAGAGAGAGAGAGTTTAGAGATTATTTAAGGCATTGATGATTTAGTTAAGAATAGTGAGCGAGTCATTGGGGCTGCATGGTGGCCAAGATTTGGCATAAACCGGCCAGTCCTAGTTGGAGATGAAATGACTCGGTTTGGAGCCGGTCCGTCTCTCTTTGCATCAAGTGGTAATGCTGAGAAACCAAGCACAACCGGTTCTTCAGTTCCCGGTTCTCTATCCTTAGTCTTTTCACTTCGTCCGCGAGGTTCTCCAAATGCCTCTTCTTTCGTAACCTAGACCGCCTGGCTGATTCCCGGTTCGATATCATCCTCCGACGCTTCCGCTCTTCGACGGAATAAACCGACCGGTTCGTATCGGAACCGGAAATCGAGTTAGCTGACTGTCCTGATTGAAAGAGAGACAAAAGCTCCTGGACTTCATCGGCAGTGAAGCCCCCTTCGAAAACAGGGACTTGGAAATGAACCGGTTCTTCAGAAAACAACATATTTAGAGCAAGAGTGAGAAGCTGCTCAGAGTTAACCGGAAGTTAGAAGAGTGGAGAAAAGGGAAGGAACGAAGTGTAGAGCATGGCTATTTATGGACGTGGAGAAGGGACACCTGGGTCCACTTCAAAAAGAAACCTTGAAAAAGTGAGGGTATTTTCGTCTTATAAAATAACGGATCTGTTTCAATATCCAGGGTACTTTCGTGTCATATTTAGATGAAAGTGCCGCCTATAATTATCTTTCTCGTGGAGGCCAGGTGGAGATCACTCCATAGACAATTGGAGATTACTCAATTATTGGGAAGGTAAGAAATTACTGTTGGTATCAAACAGACCCATGTTTCAAGATCCATCTCTTTTTTTTTTTTTTTTTTTTTTCTTTCAGGACAAAAATTTAAAATTTTTTAATTAAAATATTTTCTATTTGGATTTTTTCTAATAAACTTAATATCACCTTCTCCTTAGATAATTATCGATAGTGGTAATTTCTAATTTCTTTGATTCGTTATTACTTTGAATGGTGATTCATTACACTTGTAGTGATTAGTGCCTATACGGTGACATGAACCTTGGCTTTCTATTTTGAAAGGTGAGAAAAGTATAATTAGACTATAATGTCTTTGATCACAAAACATTTCTAAACTATATGTCGGTAAACATGTAGTACTTTATATTTTTTTTATTTATAATTGAAAAGGTTTTAGTCAATTTATTAAAAGGGGTAAATTGAGATTTAAAAAAAAAAAAAAAAAAAAAAACTAATCCCTTGACAGTATTTCTTAATTATGGTAAATTGGGATGTTTTGCAATTTTTTAAAAATAATTATCTTCTTAAAATTTAACGTAGAAGTGTGATGTTGCAAAATTTTATAATAATTTTTTTTTTGGCATTTAAACATATAAATTTAAATCAAACAAAGTGAAAATGAGATTATAAATGCATGTAATTAAAGCGTAGGAAAAACTTAGATAGCTGACGTTTAAGAGTTCAGGTAGTAATAATGTTGTGCCACTTTTTTGTGCCGGACATGCATATTTATATATAAGAACATTCAGCATATATGTGTGTGTGTGTGTGTGTCAGGTCAGGTGGAATCCTGTGGTGGGTGGGTGTGGGGAGGGTCTTTATTTAGGATAGTAGTTGGTGGGTCCCAAATTAGCTTAATCACGAAGAATCAACCAAAAAAACAGGAAAAAAACAAATCAGATTACAGATTTTCCAATCAGACGGTCTCCTGACGAAGTCATGTGGTTTACGTAGTTGGACAAAGCTAACAAATCGAGCTACTACTACTACATGGACGCCTCGTGGGCTCTCTTTTTCTGCCTTTGTCGCCTCGTGGAACAAAATTAAAGTTGCCTTCTCTAAGCGTGTGTGTGTGTGTGTGTGAGAGAGAGAGAGAGAGTAAGAGGCCAACCAATCATTTACAACTTTTATGCAATTGCTTTAATACGTAGTAGTAATTGATAAGCAAATTAAACACTACAGAAATTTTCTCGTCTTTTTGCACGAAGAGAACGTATGTATCCGGTGATGAATTCCAGTGTGTTTAAAAATTTGGCATCACTAAAATCGACTAAAAAAAATACAACTTGTTATTGAAGCCATTTAAACTGCTTGTTTTAGGTAGGTTAGTTTTTACAGATATTCCAAGTTTGTTACAAACATACTTTGTATTATAATGAGGAATATTCCTGGTTGCCCCTTTTAGTGAGTATTTAATTACAGTAGATTTCTTGATTGGCAGTTTGTTCATATGTTTTGGCATGTGATCATTCAAGTTATATAAACGAGTGCAGTGGAGACCAACATGCACACTTTTTCTGCTGCTATTGTTGTCGTGGGAATTAAATAAATGTTACACATATGTGATTGCAGATTGAAACCTTTCCATATTTCTTGATTCGATAACATGATTAACATCCTTCAGAATTCCTGCCATTGCCACCCCAAATTTTGTTTTTTCTTACTCTTTTATCACTGATGCAAGAATACCACCATATATTTTTGACATAAACATAGATGCACATACATGTGTGCAAATACATTGTAGACACCACATTTTGTCTTGCCCCTTCCGGTTAACTTCAGGTAGATTTTCCAATCACCAGATCATAAATCCGACACTGCCGTCACTCTTAGAGCGCCTGAAAACAAAGGAAAGCACCTAATATTGGTCCCGTTCGGAAGTCCGTAGCATCCAATCGCCCAAATTCAAAAAAAAAAAGGGGAAAAGCAGTCATTTCATACTGATCAAAGCTTTTTTGGAATTTTTTTTTTTTAGCATAGGTAAAAATAAAATAATATAGTATATATAGTATAAAATCTATGCTTGGCCCCCCTAAGAAAAAAAAATTATTTCTTTAATTAGAATTTAACAAAAGATAGTTTATATAGTGGTTTAATTAACGACTATAGAATCCCGATAAAAATTAATTCACATAAAAATTTAATGTGGCTATCTTAAAATTTCAACTCAAACACCGTTTTTTTCATAATGTGACTACAAGCACGATTCTTTCTATAACCTTATTATTCTAAAATTTCTCTTTCCATAATCTTATTATTCTAAAATTCCATCTCATACATGATTCTTTCAGTCACTTTTTTTTTTTTTTTTTTTTCTTCATTTTTATTGAAATGCTTTTATAAGAATTCTATAAGAAATTAATTTTTACAAAATCAAGAACAAAAATTTCATTTAAAGTTTTGAATATCAACAAAAATTGATGATTTAAGAATCTAAATTTTTTTTTTTATTAATTTGTTTGTTTGTTTGTTTTTTTTTTTTTTTTTTTTCATTGTTATTGTTTTGTTAAATTTTCAATTGTTACACTTTTTTTTAAGTTATTTTTGTTTTTTTTTTTTTTTTTTTTCCTTTTTGGTAAATAAAGAGAGTTATTTAATTGATTTTTTTTATAATTTTGGCATAAATCTTATTTGTGTTTGTTCACAAAAAATTTCCTTAAATAACTAGTTTTTTTTTTTATTTAAATAAATTGAAAAAAGTTTAAATAGATATATTTTTGTATGAATATAATAAATAGTAAAATATTTTTGCCTACGTAATATATATATATATTTTTTCCAAAGTTCTGACTAGGTAATGTTCTTTATAATTTTGCCCCCCCCCCCCCCCCCCCCGCAACCTCAAAATCCTGGCTCCGCCCCTGCGTCCGGAATGTCCGAAAACCTTAAGTTTGTCCCCAAAAATAAAATATTCAGAGTCCCATAAGGACAGAACATTAAAAAATAGTTAAATGAGTATTCTAGAGGTCATATGATGTCATGATTGACATCATCATTTCAGATAAAAAAAAAAAAAACCCCAAAAGAAACACATTCACATGGATTTCCAGCATATTAGCAAGAAGAAGCCCAACCAGCTGCACCAACAGATGTGACTAGATTACTTTCATCAAAAAAAGGAAACAGCCGCACCCGTAGACGCAGTTATCCCCAAAATCAAGTAAAGGCGATCAGTCGCGCTTACATGCGTGGCTAAGTCTGCACACAGGGCATAACTTCGGGACCCCACTTCTTTAAGAGACTATAAATAAGACCACACCCCTTTCATTCAAGGGGAGGTTCTCCACCTATAAGATTGATTCCAAACAGCTCTAAAGCTGCCCAAATGGCCTCTCAAGTAACCACAACCCTCCAATCTCTTCCTCTCATATAGAGAAAAGCCACTCTTTCATTTCTCCCTCAACCATAAGCTTCTCATAGTGAAGAAAGAAGGTGGAAAATGATGGCCAAGAATTGAGACTCCTCCATTCCTATCTTGTTGCTTTGATTTATATTTCAATGCTTTTATTACTTTACTTATATGCTTTAAATTTCTACATTGCATAGCCTATATTTGCATGGTTGCAACCTGTTGTTATTAGCTTCCCCCATTGGCATGAGCGAATAGACGGATCGAGTTGTAGGCCTGGGTTATATACTGGTGCCAACGAACATGAATGGGATGACAACCTTCCCAATCCAATCGGTTACAACCCCATATGTTTACTTTTATGCTAAACCTTTGATTATTGATGTTTGTGCATCTCATTCTTAAAATGAACAACTAAAATTAACACACACAACACACACACACACAAGCATGTTCATAATGACGGATGACATTTTTGTCATTTCATTATCGGGACACCTTATTACATGTAAGAGATGGCCCTCGTAGGAGCCTTACTCCTTTGGACCCCATGATTTCCTCGAGAAACAAGCACTTTGTTCAACTTTGGAGCCATCCCAATTATTTCTCATAAAATCAAACATCAAATCAAAATCAACTCACACACGCATAAGCATATTCAATGCAACGAGTGACATTCTTACCATTTCGTTATTGGGATACCCTATTATTACTTGTAAGAGATAGCCCTCGTAGGAGCCTTGCTCCTTTGAACCTCATTGTTTTCCCCAAAAACAAGCATTTTGTCCATTCTCGGAGCCATCACGATCATCTCTCATGACACTCATCATATTTAAACTCAAATCTGACACTCATGAGTAGTTACACTGTCCGATTTTTGACTTAAGATAACCTTTTCTTAAGCCATTACTTTTCCAAAGACAAGATTATCCCATCAAAAGTTCATCAAAATCAAACCATCATAATGGCCCCAATCAATCTTCACTTCCCAAGTCAAGGTTTTTGTAAAAACCATTTCAAATTCAAAAATCTACTTCCATACAAGTAGTCATCAATACTCAATCTTGAAGATAAGGTTTTTCATAAAAACCTCTTTTCAAATCTCTACATTTACATCTTAAAAACCCACCTTGTAAGAATGGTCATTTTCTACCTTAAAACCCTCCTCGTAAAAGTGGTCATTTTCTACCTACCTCAGAACCCACCTCGTAAGGGTGGTCATTTTCAACTTCAAAATCCACTTTTATATAAGTGGTTATCTTGAAACAATACGCCGTTAGACCACCCTAATCATCTCTTTTCCAAACACGGGTCTTCATACAAATCTCCATTAATTTCAAACTTAGGTATTTGTATAAATCTCTTTTAATCTCAAGTCTCAGTTTTCG